GATTCACAGAAATACCGGCATTACACCAGTATAGTCAAGCCCTGAACTTTGTATGCCTTGCTTCTAAAAAGTCACTTTACCTCCATGGAAAAGTTCTAGTAGTACCTGAGCCATACTATAAACAACTGGACTGAGCTAAATTGGTTGTCCTTCCATTCCTTGAGTCAACAGAATTCTGCACAATCCTAGTTCTACATTAGGCTGCCTGGTCATCACTATCCAGGTAAAAGGGGAAGTATCCAGGCGACTATGACCTAACTCAACACTAGTACTTCAGTAAGGCCATAGGAACAAAAGAGTGCAAATATCAAAATGCTTGTATAATTAAGAATCCTGACTTGGCCTGAGATTGCATAAATCCAACATCCTACCGACTAGTTAGAGCAGTGATTATCAGCCAGGGTGCCTTGAGATCCATTCAGGGGAACTGCAAGGTGCCACACAGTTGGATGTGCAAGCATGATTCACAATATAAACCCAGAGATTTCAAATACCATAATCCATAGCATTTAAAATATTTTGACCTGTTGTGGTCTTTCTACGTTCTTTTCAAAAGAAAAATTGCTCTATTTTTCTGCAGTCAAAAAATTAGTGAAAACTAAGGTGGCATTTTCTGAGGGGTGCCTCAAGCCTAAAAAACTTAAGAACCACCAAGTTAGAGGGTTCCTCCACATAACACCTTTCATTCAAAGACCTAAGGCTAGGTATAGACAGTCAAAAAGCCCACAATGGAATCAATTCAGGCTTTGCAGGTTAGTCTAAACTGCACAGATTAAATTGAAACAGAAGTGAACAGACCTTTACCTTTGATTCAGGAAATGCAGCCACATGTCTGCAGTGGCTCAGGCCAGAAACCCGGTGGGCGGGAGAGTTTGGTGTGCTACAGCATAGCTCTCTGGCTGTGTGTTCACTTCCTCTTCCTGCTGCCCCCAAGGTCTCTGGGATTTGCAGTCCAGAACTACAGCAGCAGGACTCTGCAGGGTTGCTCATCACATCCTCTTTCTGCTTCCTGGTGCCTCTGGGAGTTGTAGTCCAGTGTTACAGCCAGCAGTAAATTTGAGCAGGGGAAGGGGTGTTTAATCCCTCTCCTTGGCTCCAGACCCCAGCTGGGGTTTGCCTGGGGGCGGCAGTCCACCCCCCCCCCCCCCCCCCGCCGCCCAGCTGGGGTTTGCTGGTGCGGTGGGGCAGTGAACTAGCCTCACTGCTCCAGGTAGGGAGCGGAGGGGTGGGGCCAGCCCTGCTCTCTAGAGCAGGCAGACAGTACAGCCCAGTCCAGCCCAGCCCAGGGATGCAAAGTACACTGGGATGCCGGGGGATTGTGCTTTAACTTGAACTAGAAAGGGGTCTGGGGCAGAAGTTCCATAAACCAGTCTGACCCAAATCAGTTAAGTCTGATGCTACATTCAACCAGGTTTATCTTAAACCAGTTTCAGCCATTTTGAAACTGGTTTATATGCACTGAGCTTCTATTCTGTTACAGGTTAAAACCAGTTTCTGATCACTTAAACCAGTTTATATGTAACTTCTGTCCCAAGCCCATCAGCCTGACAGGGTAACCTCATGCTATGACACCTACAAAATGGTTGTAGCATTCCATTTAGATGTTAATGGGCATACAGGCACTGCACGATCTGTAGTATCTGAATTGTTTCACCCACCACTATTATGCTGTCGCTTGGCAACATTTTGAACTAGATGCCAATGCTATGCTATACCCCATGCTTGTTTTGTGGCTGTAATTGACATTGCATTGCTCTCCCCATAACTAAATGGATTATCGTTAATCATTGTATAATGTAACTTTAACTACAAAAAATGTTTCTCCTCAAGGCGTATTTTAGCTTCAGGCATGGAAGCCAATTGCAGCCAATTTGTCCATAGAAAAATTGGTATGGAAAAATCAGTGAATGTTTCTGTTAGTTTGAAATACTTTCCACTCTTTAATATTCCACATTTGCACAGGATTTTACTTGTTCTAGCTAATCCATGCTGCATCCATCTGATATAGGTATTAACCTCATTACACATGGAGAAGGAGAACCTGAAGTTCTGTCTGGAATTTTCACATTCTCCTATTGAACTAACTGACCTGGAAGGATTTTGAACTGCTCTAATGTTCTAATAGAGCTAGGAGGAATTTGGTGTTTTTCTACTTGGGCTGAGGCCTCACCATTGCTAGGTTAATTTGCCCTAGGGATTTGTTCATGGAGACAAGACTTCAGTTCATCACAGCCTGTGGTCATGTCTACATGTGACGCTTTACTGCACAGTAGCCTAATCTACTGTGTAGTAAAGTGTCACTGGCTACACGTGCAGGCATTTACTGTGCAGTAAATTAATCTACTGAGCAGTAAATTTACTGTGCATCAAAGCCAAATAGCATTTGTTTCATGTGTAGACATGCCCTGTGGCAACCATTTCAGTACAAACTTTTGACTGCAGTGGTCCCTGTTGAGGCTGGTAATAAATCTTGCAAAATGTTGAAGAATATATCCAGTAAGAGTCTGTTCTCTTGCTAGAAAGACTGCTTCATCTGAAAGAGTTCCTACTGCTTTCCTTCTAACAGGAAGCACCAAAGAACAATCTGAAAGAATCACTGAACTGCTGCCAGCTGGTATTATGAGAGGAAACGCAATTACCCCTGTAAGCAGATGACTGACAGACTGACTGCACACCACAGGCTTCTCTTATATTTGTGTTACTGTCATCACAGACAAAATTAAGTGGGCTTTTGTCATCTCTAGGGAAGAGATCCAGCTTTGGTTTAGTAAGTGGGCATTGGATTGTATTGCAAACTTCCTGTTGGGTTGACTAGCCAAATCACAGCTTGAAGGAGTTTTGACACTTCTATATTTCCTTAAAGTATGAGTAGCATTTAAAGTTTTCTTTTAAGGACAAAGATTTGTACAGAGAAAAAGTACAAAATAACAGGAAGAAAGTATGGATGCCAATTTTTTAAAAGTGATTGTGAGGCTGACAAGCCTGCTGTGGGTTGCTGTTAACCTTTCTACTGGAAGCAGTGTTGGTTGATGTGTGATAGCTCATAGTTTGCCTAGATTGCAGAAAAGGCCACATATTATTGGACAGACACATGGACACTACATTAAGATGTTAAATCCCTGCTCAGAAGTGCTGCTGTTCTAGTGAGAGAAGCTAGAGGTTACCAATCCCGTGCAGAACTTCTTTATCACTGTCCATGAGACAGGAATATTACTGAATTGGAACTTCTAGTTTTTCCTCATTAAAAGTTTTATTTAACAAGAGTAATCCCTAAGTTTCAATTTTTTCCCACCCTCTTTCTCTTTTCCTCTTGCAAGCTCCCGTAAGGAAGAAATAAATATTAATCGTGATTCTCCTCATAACTGCAACAAAGTGCCTACCAAAGCCAATTTTGTACATGGAGTGAGCAGCCAGTTCTTAATTAAGGAAATTTAACATAGGTAGCTGACACCATCTGTACAGTGCTTTCCATGAAATCTCCCTCCTTATTATGCACCACTTATTACTTGGCACATTACTTGGGCTTATGGGAGAAATAGAAGGAGGAAGAGAAATTAAACAGAACCTTTTCCCCCTGAAAATGTGCTCAGGGTATTAAATAGAACTGAATAATCTTTATCTATAGAACTGGCATCAAGGGGCAGTGGGAATGCAAGCTTCTGCATGCTAACCCTGCTGTGTGTCTTGATGCTTGTTGGGCTAAGACAGTGGTTCTCAACATTTTTGGACTTGGGGTACCCCTTATTCAACTTGAGACTACTCTCCATAACTTTTGTGAATTAACTGGCACCCAATTTCAAAAACTAATTCATATATTACAGTGCTTGCCTCCTTGCAGAGTGACTGGACAGTGGGAGTGGGGGATCATCCAGGCAGGGACAAGCCTGAGCCTGTGCTTATTTGCTTTGCTTACTGGTGTTTAATCACTTCTGGTCAGATGAGTGGTATGGAGCCAGTCAGTGGGGTGGATCAGGCCCTGCAGCACCCCCCCATGCCAGGGTCAAATTTCTGGAGTCCTGTGTCCAATTTTGGGGCCCCCACTACAGAAAGGATGTGGACAAATTGGAGAGAGGCCAGCGGATGGCAACAAAAATGTTGTGGGGGCTGGGGGACATGACTTCTGAGGAGAGGCTGAGGGAACTGGTCTTGTTTAGTCTGGAGAAGAGAAGGGTGAGGGGGGATTTGATAGCTGCCTTTACCTGAATGGGGGTTCCAAAGAGGATGGAGTGAGACTGTTCTCAGTGGTGACAGATGACAGAACAAGGAGCAATGGTCTCAAGTTGCAGCCAGGGAAGTTTAGGTTGGATATTAGGAAAACCTTTCTCGCTAGGAGAGTGGAGAAGCACTGGAATGGGTTACCTAGGGAGGTGGTAGAATCTCCATCCTTGGAGGTTTTTAAGGTCCAGCTTGACAAAGCCCTGGCTGGGATGATCTAGTTGGGGATGGTCCTGCTTTGAGAAGAGGGTTGGACTAGAGACCTCCTGAGGTCCCTTCTATCCCTAATTTTCTATGATTCTATGGTCTCTGGCCTGTGGGGCTCCACACAGGTGTGAGCATTTGGCAACAAGGAAATGGTGCCACTGCTCCCCTGCCACCAAATTTTTTTACTTGTGGGGAACCCTGCACTGCCAGGGGCTGGATTTGGCCTGTGGGCTGGGGGTTGAACACTCTTGTCTTAGCTTATCTGCTTATCTCCTCAAACCTTGCTTCACCCTTCAAAAGATCTCGAGACACATCAGGATGTGGCACCCTGATTGAGAATCACTGGGCTAAGGGACGCTTTTCGATATAGACCCTCTTGGAGTTGAATTGAAACGACTAAATCCTTCTTACATAGGCTACCAAAATATAAGGTTATGAGTGGTAATTAATTTAGAATTGCCATCTGGTTACAGGTGAGGTCAATATGGGGGAGAAAGGGTTTGTCGACAATTACACACAAAGGATTTGTAAACAATGATTGAGTCCAGCCCAGGATGTCACATGGAAATTTAGCCTTTAATAAGATAATATTTTCTGGAATTGAAGCAATTTTACAATCTGGTTTGTATCTGTCTTTTTTTCTCCCTGTGGAGAATAATCCCAAACAAACCCCACTTTGACCTTGAGGGTTGAAAATGATTTCTCATAAAGCATAAAGGTATCAGTCTGTCTCTTGCTAATAGTTTTGGACTGTGCCAATTTAGCAGACAGAATAAATTCCCCAGTCATTTCCCCATAAATTGGAGTCACGTGGATGCTTTAGATTTGAATTATTGGGAAAGCCACAAAACATCTCTATGCAAATATTAGTTTATTAAAACACTACATATTATATCAATTCACTCATGCCAATCTTTTCAGAAAAGCAGTCTCTCATTTTGGCTAACTATTCTTCTTGTTATGAAACAAAATAAAATCTGCGGACACACACACACACACACACACATATTCACGTCTCCTTTCACTGGAGAGTATGAAATTGTTTCAAGTCTTAGGACAGGGTTTGCCAATAAGGACAATACACCTGCTCTATCAGTCATGAGCTTGAAAGTATGTAATGTTAATCTTCTGAGCCCTCATTCCACCTTTTCTTTAATTGGTCTTCAGTTGGTATAAATCAGCACAGCTGAGTTAAAATTAATGGAGCTATAATTTAATCTGATTTACACCTCTAGAGGATCATCCAGCTCTTTGATATGAAAGGTGTCTTTTCCTAAGGCCAAGACACAAAACTTTCATGTGGCAGATTCAAGGGGACTTGCTACCTATTTACACAAGTACAAAGCTGTGGAAAGCATGACTAGGAAGACTAGACATTCATGTCTAACCAACAAAAGCCTTTTGTTGGGATGGGTAGACAGGAGGTCTGCTATGTTTGTATGGCCCTCTTCTTCCCCCTGCCTGGTGCACACAACTGTCAGTGTATGCTCTCACTTCACCCAGAACCTATCTCTTGTGATGTTTAAATAACAGTCTTGGCACTTTGTCAGAATCCCTTCTGTATGCCATACGCATATCCACAGGATCCAGCAGCTTATTCAGAAAAAGCCCCATCTCCACAAACAAGCTGTTGTAGTCCCTGCCACTTGTGTGGCTAAGTTCAAAAGGAGGACATGGTCACCTCCCTAATGACAGAAGGCATGAACGAGGTTCTGAACCTCTCAAAAATATTCAATAACCACAGTGTAACTCGGTCACACTCTACCTCCTCAATGCCCCATTGCCTGCAAGACTGCAGGATATCCCTGACACCTCTTCAACCATTTAGGAGGATCCATTACAAACCTCTCTCCCAATACTAACTTTCCAACTTCCTACAAAGCTACATTATAACCCTTCTCCCCATAAGTGTCCTCTACCCCCTCTATTACCCTTCTTTCTGAATAAAGTTTTCCTCTCCCATTAACTAAAAGAGAAGCACTTCCTATAAACCCTTTAATATACCTGCCATCCATTTCTTGGAGGGCATGGTGTCCTATCATCTTCTGAGGAGGAGGAGAGCGAGTGGTTGGGAAAACTGAAATCTATATCTGAAATCTATATTTTATATAGAATTAGAATTAGTTATTAGAATAAAGTGCATACAGTATATAGTTCATGGCTTGCCACACACCCACAATGTAAGAAAAATCAACATGAAATAAAAGTGACAGTGTTTCCTCTGCTCTCTCATGCGGTGCCTTTCTCTGTCCTTTGGCATAAAGCCAGGTACTGTGGGAAGAGGCAAAAACTGTGAGCAGTCAGTCTCAGGGAGGTGGGTGGTTGCTGAACAGTAAGCCCCAGTCGGTGGTAAATGGTGATATTGGACGCAGAAGGGTGAAGGACTGGTGCTGAAAGTTGATTTCATACAAGTTCAAAGAGTGAGAAGTTTGTGCTCCTCTTTCTTCCTCATCAACCACCTTTTTAGTACTTTGTCCTAGAAAAACAAAACAAAACCACAAGCAAAATTATCAGCATATAAGGAACTGCTGAGCAGTAAATTAAAGTGTCTGCTGAGTTCTAATTTGACCTTCCTGCACAGCTAGGGCTGTTCACAAGATTCCAGCATAACATAATCCCCAAAGCTTGGCTTCCAAGTGTAATAGGAGCAGCAGACAGGGGCTCAAATACCACAGGGACATGCACGCTGTAAACATCTGGATAAAACACAGATACCAACCCCTCCTTTGTCCAAGATAAGAATGTTTTTGTCTTGAGCACTAAGAGCACTAAGAGTCAATGCCTTTGTATGTATTTGTACATCAGTTAGTGCAATGGGGACCCAATCCTGATTACAGCCTCTATTTAATAAACATTAAACAATAATAGATTGATCCCTAGGGGGCCATTTGGTCTGGTGGTAAAGGAATAAGTGCATATAAAGGTTGAACAAAGACAGCCACAGCCAGTGCACTGAGCTCACTGTCCTGTATTACCTTCCAAGCCTAGATACATTGATTTTAACAAGGAAAGACTTTTTTTTCCCCTTTTCCTTTGCTGGCTGATCTGATGCCAGTCAAAGTTGCTGAATTAGCATTTTCTGGTGTTTAAATCCATGCATCCGTATTTTGCTGACACAGATTTTAACACCCAAGGTGCACAAGAAGGAGGGAGGTTATAAGGGTTATAAAACAATACAGGAATGAGATACCATGAAAGAAAGAGAAAAATAGTAATCATAGGACAAAAAGGAAGAGCAATAAGAAGCACTGAAAAACAGTTTTGGATATTTGATAAGGTCTTACAATTCAATGATTAGGAATATGCCATTTGATACCAAGGTAAACCATTATAAAATCCATGACATACATATCAAATATGCATTTTTAAAAGATCTTTGACACACTTGTTATAGTTCTCATTTCTGCATTCAATGAATGGGCTGGATGTCTGTTTCTTGCAGCAAGGGTGTAACTTCTTATCATTCCTAGCAAGGGGCAAATGAGTTCCAGAAACTCAACAAAAAAAATTGTTCTGCTGCTGAACAGTTCAGTTAATGGATCCTGAGAAACATGATAAGGCAAAACCCTGAAGTGATGTTTGCAGAGTACAAATTAGACACTTTTACACAAAGATTTCGTCACTTAGCTTCTCTCAGACAAACCTCTGCCTCTCCACCAAAAGGAAGTACATCTAGTTTGATATCCTATAGACTGTACAACATAGGCTGCAGACCTTCCAAGAATTAACTGCTAATCAAACTACAGGTTATTCACTCGAGTTAAAAATCATCAGCAATGGAGAAATTACTACGTGCCAAAAAATGTTGAGGGAAGTAGGTTTTTGAAACTACCTAGATTTAGGAGGACAAGCCCCACAGACTTTCACAGGGATTTGTGCTCCCAAATTTCTTAGATGCTTTTGAAAATCCCCCCTTTAAAGGTGGCCATCCACCTCTGCATTCAACTGATGCACAACCTAATTCTGCTTGGGCACGTCTATATGAGATGCCTTAATGCGCAGTGAACTGTTCACAAAGAAACATTTGCCTTTGCTACTGCACATTAGCACAGCTACTGCGCCTTTATCTAGTATGTACCTCATATTAGATGTACTAAACTTAATGCACAGTTTCATAGTTTCATAGTTGTTAGGGGCTGAAAGGTCCAGATCATCAGGTCCAGCCCGCCTGCACTTAGGCAGGAAAGACTGCTGGGATCAGATGACCCCTGCAAGATGGGCGTCAAGACGCTTTTTGAAGATAGCAAAGGTGCATTACTGAATGTGTAGATGTGCCCCTTGGGTGCTAAATCCACTCACTTCACAGCACAGAACACTTATTTTAGAGATTTGCCATGCACTATGCTATGTGGCATTATAATGAAAGTGAATTCAAGATCATTATCATTAGCCTATTCAAGAGCAACGCTACCAGGAAGAAGCCAGTCCATAAACATTTGGACCTGAAGTGAGCAGGGAACAGCCTCAGAATGGGAGTCTGAAAGGTGGGGAGACAGCAAGGCCCAAGGGAGGGGTAAAATGGTTACTAATGAAGCCAGTTGCATTTGCCCTCAACCCTTTCTATCCTGAGCCTTCAAGACTTAATGGCAGGGGGTTTCCTTTACTTCCCTATAGGGCTAAAGAACAGAAGCCATTCCCTGCCACAACTCTCTATGAATTTATTGAGAAGAAGTGTCAGTTTCTGTATGCAGTGTTTAATGCTGCAACCTTTAGCACCGGTTTGCATCAGAACACCTCCCATGTCCTTTTAAATCCTGCAGTGTGCAGGGCTTTAGCTGCACAACTCTTCTTTATGTCAGTAAGAACAGTGAGGTCAGATACTACTTTGGCTACTTTGGAAAGTCACCCTAGCCGCATTTGTTTCTAAGATGTTGAGATTAATTTTCTCAAGAGAATTGAATGAAAAGCTTTTTTTCTTCTTCTTTTTGTTGTCATTTATTTCTCAAGGGCATTGTTGAAAGTTCTCCAGGGGATTCCAGGCCTGCACTTTGGATAAATATTTATTTCTTATTGTTTGAAGCAGGGGATGAAAGCACCATCATGCCCTCTGCACAGCCTCGCCACCTGGGCCTGGAGTATGGCTTGGGGGTGAAGGGATGTTTTTGTACCCTATGGGACACCTAAACAAACCAACCAACCACCTAACAATGGTATTTATGAAATAAATGGCAGAGGGCCATGGCTACTGGAGCTGGTGTTCTGTGGAAATGGACAGATGCTATAAAAATTTGAATTTGGGTGTTACAACTCGTTCATCCTTACACTAATCTCACAAAGGGCAAGTGAAGGGATGGGTGGAAGTCCCACCCAGTGGTACTGCACTGCTATTGTCTACAGGGGGGTGGAGGGAAAGGAGCATCATTCAGTTGCATAGACCTCTTCAGAAAAAACAAACCAACCATTTACTCTTCAGGGAATTCTCCTTGTCGCTCTAGAGCTCATGAGATCTCTTCCTGCTATGCATTCTTCCTGTGACAGCCACAGTCCTATTCAGTGGGCCAATACGTTGTTCTATTCCAGAGGTGGGCAAAATATGGCCTACAAGCCAGATTCGGCCTGCAAGGCCATTCTATTCAGCCCACGGGACCCTAACAAATTTAGAAAATTTATATTTATCTGTCTTTGCTTCCTGTCAAAAATGACAGGAGCCAGGGGCAGTAGGATCCAGGGGAAGCCCCGGCGGGCTCCTGCAACACCAGGGCCCGCCCCGCCCCCCCAGCCGGAAGCCCCAGTAGGGCCTTCTGGCCTGGGACCATGTGGCTGCACTGGCACCAGAAACTCAGGTAAGGGGGGGGAAGGGCAAGGGAGGACCCCGGGCAGGGAAGGAGCTGGTGCTAAGCGCGGGCCCCTCCCCCGCCCCATGGCCGGCACTTCCTGCTGCAGCCGCTCGCAGCCCACGTGGGGCTGTCCTGAGCAGGCACGCGCCCCGATGGGGTGCGGGGCCAGCTGCAGCAAGGAGCGCCAGCCACGGTGCAGGGGAGGGGCTGCTTTTCCCTGCGCTCACCACCAGCTTGTAACCTGCCCCCACTGCCAGCCTGGGCCCCATGCTGGCTCTGGGCTCACCCACCGGGGCTGTGCCGTGGCAGCAGCAGTTGCTTGGCATGAAGGAAAGTGGCCCCTCCCCCACGCTTGCGGTGCCAGGCAGTGTTTGCTGCTGCTGCCTGCCTGGAGCTCACACTCGCGTGGGGCCAGGGAGGGGCCGCTTTTCCCCCACTCACCACCAGCTCCTTCCCTGCCAGCAAGAAGGGGGTCAGGGCTGCATGCTGCCCCCAACCTGTATGGCGGGGTTGGGGGGCACTGGGAATGAGTGGGTGCAAGAGTCAGTGGGCCTGTACTGGTGTCCTGGGGCCCACTGACAGGGTGGGCGGGGCCCAGAGCAGGGTGGCAGGAGCACAGGGTCCCGGCCGGCAGGGGCTCTATGGAGCCAAGCCAGCTCCCCCCTCTCGCTGCTGGTTCATCCCAGCCCAGCTCCACAGACCCCTGTCAGCCTGTGCCCTGCTGTGGGCCCCACTGGTGCTGGCCCTGGGACATTGGTCCCAAGATGGTGACCAGGGGGCAGGGCACCTGTCAAGGGGCGGGGCTACCCATGCGGCCCTCGACAGCTTGCCAAAACTGGGTAAGCAGCCCTCTGCCCAAAATAATTGCCCACCCCTGTTCTATTCAGAGCTAATTCAGACTATTCCTTTTCAGCTGAAAAGCTGACAGGATTAGACCTCTACAGAAATGGGATTTTCCATTTCACAGGAAATTTCACAGTTTCAAAGTCTGGTTCCAAAATGAAAAAAAAAAATCAAAACATTTCCTGTGAAACAAAATCCCAAAATAAAAGTATCAATTTTTGGCTCATGGAAAAGTTTTATTTTGATAACACCATAATGTTGTTTTAATAAAGTCATAACATTCTGTTCTAATTTTGGCTTTTTAAAGTTTCATATGTATAACATATCTGAAATAAAAAGTCTCTTCAAAACTGAAAATCGAAATGCTCTGTTCTTAAATGGAATGTTTTAACCGCACACAATGCTCCATTCTGCTTCCCCCACTTAATACAGACGTTTGTCAAAATTGACATATATCCACTATTTTTTTTACTTTCAACAGATAAGTATATCCTAACTAAAATATTCCATGGGAAACTTACTGATCCCCTCTAGACAGAACTTGGTCCATTCCAGGCAGGATTGCCAAACATACTGTCTCTGCAATGATCCTGCTCATAGGAGAGAGAGACTAGGACCAAAAAAGGAATTAAAGTTTCCTATGTAGCAGTTGAGATAATTTTCATTAGTCAATGGTCCTATGCCCTTCTGGAATATAACTCCTCAATGCTGATCAGACCCACTATTGGCTTAAACTGATCACTTTCCATTTCAGTACTGTACGCTTCTCCCCAGTAGTCCAGGATTCCCCTATTCATAACTTTTTGTACCTTGTTTATTGTACCATTGCACTAAAGCACCTAAAGTTTTCAAAGTT